CCCCCCCCCCCCCCCCCCCGCGTGTGTAAGCACATAAACATCCTTCGCGGGGCATAAAATCTCATGAGCTTCCTGCTACGTTGTCACGTCCCAATAAGTAACAGACAAAAGTGGGCCACGAGAAGTAAACATCGGCGCGCGCGCGCGCGCGGTTCGCCTGCATTCTTCTCGAGCCGTCGAACAGGGCGAACGTCTTGAATTATTCATGCCGATTTGACTTTTTCCACCGCAATCGCGGAAATTAACCGTGGCCGCTGTTCTGCCGAGCGCCGTTTCAATAACTTTCGTACTTTCGAAATGCAATTTTTCAATAAGCCAACCGTGGTTCTTGCATTTCGACGTCGTTCAACAGCGCGGTGCACGCTTGTGAAAATACACGCTCGGTGTATTTTCACCGATCGCCGATTTCCAATGAATTCGTTCGTTGTTTAAGAAATTTGATCGTGACGCACGCAATTAACTGCAAACGCGAGCTATTGAAAATCTTGTTGCGAAGAAGTTGCGAACAACAAGGGGGAATACATTGTTGATTAATTAGTTGTTGATTTTTACTGGAAAGTAAACTTTAAAAAAGAAATCATTAAAGCAAAATTGTTGATTAGTAGAGAAAAGAAGGAGCTGTCGAAAATGCTAATTTTTCTCTCAACTTGACATTCCATTTTAATGATCCGAGAAATTCGCAGTAATTAACTCGAACAAAAGAACGAAACACCCTGTTTCGAATGATCTAAAAATAATATAAAAATAATATAATAAAAATTAATAATATAATATAATTAAAATAAAATTTTTTAAGTAATTAACTAGAATTTAAAAAATCAGCGGGAACTTAGTTGCCAGCCCAATGTTTACAACGTGCTGTAGCTCCGCGCTTTTTCTTACCTGACTCACGCCCAAACAAACCGTCTCGCGTTGCCTTCCCGGAATTCGCGTCGCGTGCCGCGTCGCACGCTTGACCGACTCCGTCGGCCCTTAGCATCGATGCAGCAGTAAATTACATAGGCGTAGCACTGGCACAGCGAGATTCACAACGACTCGAAATCTGGCATTTCCGGGAGAAATTACTATACGCAGATGTTGTTTCGATCACTTTCGTTAGGGAACACTGTACTCGTCGATTACAGGCCGGCCTTGTTGCACGGAGAAAGTGTTATGCGACGCAAACGATACGTTCATTTGTCGGCCGATTACTCGTTCTTTGCGCGCGCAAATCAGCCGTGTAATCGGCGCCGTCAGCGTGGACCGCGCGCCGCGCATTACCGACGATAATTGGTCGTTCGCTCGAAAGATGACGCAACGTTTTATAATTCAATCGCGCCATCTAACGGTTGCCCTGGGAAACGCGCGCAACCGAACCGATTTCATTGTGACTCGGCGTCGTGCGGAATGCGAAACGTTCGGTGCTACCGAGGCACCTACGGGCACACCGCGTGAACATTAAAATAGAACGAAAATGATGAAAGTCGTGGCCGAACCCGCCGCAATAATATTTACGTGTCGGGAGATGCCGTAGCGGGAAATGTGCGCGCGTGGGCGTGAGATCTTGCTCGGCAAGATGTCAGATTTTCGCGGTTTACGATGCCCCGATGCAAAATGTTTTGCTATCCGGAGAGGCCGATGTACACACCGTGACAAAACTATGGACCAATCGCGAACATTGCGACAAATTCTATGCAACTTGGAAATTTATTTTTCTCTCGCTGCTGGTGTAATCGTTTGCACTCTGAGAAAGCATGTTGTTTGGTTATAATGAAATACGTCGTCTCGAAAAGTGTGGCGAAAAATGTAAACACGTCACTCGATCCGCGACAAAACCATAAAAGGCAGTCTCCGGTAAGGTAAACCTTCCTAAATTGTACATTATTGTTTACAAGCTGAAGGAAAATTAGGGAAAACATTTATTGTATACCAATTTTATTAGCCTAACTTTTCTCTTGTTAATTTTTATTTATTAATTTGATTACATTTTATTATCTTATGTTCTGTGTTATCTAAACGCTTCGAAGCATCGTTCTATTGCAAATCGTTACGATTTTGTTGTTTAGACGAATTCAAGCATGAGAAATACAAGAGAAAAGGAAAATTGCTTCTCTTTGCTCACATGAGAATGGCCCCTTAAGTAAACCACAGCTAACAAACTTCTTCGCCGGTGAAAACGGCACGAGTCTCGCTATTAGTAGTTTGTTCAGCTAATTCTATCAACACCCAGTTGATTGCTCACCTTCTCAGCCAGTTTAACTCAATATTAACCCAACGTACTACGGTCGCCGGGTCGTTTCGACCCAACTTGTGATCAATTTGCTTTAAATTTATAATTTATTGTATAATCGCGACATAATATGAATTTGTAATAAATTTATTTGTGAAAGTCGCACAATCGTGACTGTCGCGTATTAAAATTACAATGAAAAATAATAGATCACGCTTGTTTATATAATACATATACATATATACTTTCATTTTATATTTGTTGTATTCCTCTGTCATTATTTTGCTATATTTATCAAATACTTGTATACAGGGTGTCCCAAGAATGTCTCGCAATCGGGAAGTGGAGGATTCCTCAAGTAATTTGAAGTAACTTTTTCCTTAGCGAGAATGCAATCCGCGGCTTTGTTTACGAGTTATTAACGTAAAACAATAACCAATGTGAGTCGCCTCGATCGCCTAGCACTGGGCGGCCGAGCCAATCAGCGCTAGGCAGCCGAGCCAATCAGCGTTAGACGGCCGAGCCAATCGGCTGAACTAGGCTTCGACCACTCATTGGCTCGGTCGCCTTGCGTCCGCCGAGCCTCGCCTCTCATTGGTCAGCGTTTTTCGTTAATAACTCGTAAACGAAGCGGCGGATCGCATTTTCGTGAAGGAAAAAGTTGCTCCAAATAACCTCGGGAATCTCCTATTTCCGAATCGCGAGACATTTCTGGGGCTCGTCATTTTAAGATCATCAGCAGAAAATCGTGGACGAGCTCTAATAAAAAAAGGTCTGCTAGGTCGTTGATAAAGATGATAAGTAGCAGCCTCGGATAAATAGAATAGACTTTGCAAATATCATAATGCAAATGGCGTAATATTAGCATAAAGATATATGCGTTCGGTGGAAGGGAACGATGAAATTTTTACCTTCTTTCCGCGGGCACCGCACTTGGCCGACTTCCTGACCGTGGTAATAGATAGTCCCTGTCGGACACAGAATTCCATTCTGGATCGTAACTACCGGTAATATCTGTGAAAGCTAACGTCCAGTCGTCGAAAGACATTTGGAACCGCCGTGAATTTGTGGACAAACACTTTTCGAATGGCACTACTTTCCACGATAAGGCTGGCTCTTATCGTGACCGAGATACTACGGACGTTTATTGAATCGGCGGATTTATTCAAACGTTTTACTTACATTAACCGGCTTTAGCTGTGGGGCGCCTCTTTTTGAGGGCGCGATTTTTTATATGTGTCGCGAGAGTCGAGCGGCGACGAGTATACTCGACGAACACAGAGCAAGCGTCGCTGTAGTTAATAAATAATTAATATAATTTATACATTATAATGTGATCATTTTAATTATAAATAAATTATAATTATAAATAACTATAATTTAATATATAATAATATAATATAGTAATAATAATAATAATATAATAATATATATAATAATAATACTATAAATAATAATATAATAATAATATATATAATAATATAATAATATAATTTAAATTATAATTACAAATAATTTTAATTATTAATAACTTATAATATGATAATTTTAATTATTAATAAATTATAATATGATCACGAAATAATTATCGAAATTAAATTAATAATTCTTACAATTAAAATATATTATAATTATTCTAATATATTAATATTAATATACAAAAGTCGTCGCAATGATATTTTCAACAATATTCGTAACGTGTCAAGGTCATTACATCCAACCAATTAAATCTCTTTCTCCGTTCGACATAACTCTGAAAAATTAAACATTCTGCATTCCTTAAACCTTCTCGCGCAGATCGAAGAATCATCTTACTCGGTACTTGTTCCACTTTTCCAAATCTTTCGGCGTTCAATTAGTTTTAGAGTTCCTTCTTGTCAGCGTTATTTGCATTTTTCCACGATCCTCGAATTTCTCCGAGCTTTCGTTAACGCCCCCCCGAGTGTGGCCAAGATGGCGACGGAAGACGATTCCGGCGATAGAAAAACGTGTCGCATTTGGGGGGGGGGGGGGGTCGAAAGTGTGCGCGGCGATACGACATGAACCGAATTGTCCGCTACATTAATTTCTTTCTCGTTTCTGTTCACAGCCACGGAGGAACTTGGTAGCAGCATGAGCCCCACCCTGCCGTCCGCGCCCACCGAGCTTTCCCAGTTCCCTAAGCTCTGCGAGCTGCGCCGAAAGTTTCCAGTCCTGTACCGCGTCGAGTTCCAGGTGAGGACAATAAATCCGTCTGTGTTCCGCCGTACAAAGCGGATCACGGCAATCATCGGTTCAACGTTTTCCGAGGCTTTTCGTCCGCCGGCTCTCCTCGTTACTTCGCCTAAGAGAACTTACGAGCGACCACGGAACCGTGAGCGATTTTTTTTTTAGAAGTCCCTGTGGCGCTCGATTTCCCCGCGACCGACAGCCAAGCGAGACGATCTCACTCGCCGAATCGAATAAATTATTTTCCGATCGGTGGACAACGGCTTCGGGCGAAATGAACCTGCCCATCGACCTCTCGCCCTTTGGCGAAACTGGAATCTTCGTCTGCGATGGCTAGCTTGCTTGATTTTACGTACATTGTATAATTTATGGTTCATATTACTACGTGGATTGCGCGTATTTAATTTATTTAATGTTTATTTTTATTTAATATTAATGTTTTGTTCGATTAATATTTAATTTAATTTAATATTAAAATTTTATTCGATTAATATTAGATCTTTCATTTAATATTAAAGGTTTATTCAATTAATATTAGATTTTTCATTTAATATTAAAAGTTTATTCAATTAATATTAGATTTTTCATTTAATATTAAAAGTTTATTCAATTAATATTACATATGTCATTTAATATTAAAATTGTATTCAATTAATATCAAATTTTTCATTTAATATTAAAATCGCATTCAATTAATATTAGATTTAATTTAATATTAAAATTAATTATTTGATATTTATTTGAATTTAATATTAATTTATTCAATAAATTATTTCTTTATTTTATTCAATATGAAAATTACGAATGGGAAGATATGGACAGACATGATTCTTAAAAAATAATTCAAAATATGGAAAGAAAAAGAATTCGAGATGGATAAAAAATTGCATTAATTTCACTTCAATAATTCCATTATTTCGTGAATGTTTTCTATTTCGCATTTTCTATTTCATTTATTTGTAGACGCGATGACGCGATGCAAACTGGTACATAAGAGTCTGTCTTTACGTCGCGCCCGATTAAGTTAAGCTTTATTTCAAGTTAAACGGTTTCGGGAAGTTCGAAATACGGTCCATTTAATTTAATTCAGAACTATCGTCAGAGACTAACATTTCGTTCGCTCGCGATTTCGATCAACTACTTTTGCAACACTATACAAAGATTTTCGAAGGAAGCAAGGTGTGCGCGTTTTAAGGGACGCTGTTATCGAATTACTCGACGGCAAAATCGTGAGGAACGGGCAGAAAATTTCTCGCTCGCGTATCCATCGTGTATGTCGTTCGTACGTCTAGAACACTGCGCTGTGCTCTAAGATAGGCAGACAGCCAAGACAGGTTTAAGAGACGTTCAGGAGACAAAGCGATCTCCCGAGAATAGGCAGAGGAATCGAGTAACTCGGTTCAATATCGGTTTCTCATTAGACTGCCGTTCTGGTACACGGAATTCCGAGCGAGCCGCCCTTGCCATCGAGTATCTTTCGGTGCTCGGCGAAGTGCTGTACAGATCGATTTTCTTTTAAAAGGAACGCGCGATCATCGATTTTCGACGACGCAGACTTTTCGCGGAATTATTGTTCGCTTTAAAGCGCGGAGAGCAGCGGTTAAAACTTGCGCGAATAAAACTAGAAGTTGAACTAGGAAATTGAAACTAGAACTTATACTACAGGATGTCCCAAAGTTATGGTATTTCCGGGAGATAAGGGGGTTCCTGAGGAGATTTGAAGCAACCTTTTCCTTTGCGAAAATGTTCTCCGAGGTACCGTTAACGAGTTATCAACGAAAAACAGTGACCAATGAGGGTCGAGCTCGGCTGGCGACGCGTCGGGCGGGCCAACGAGCGGTACTGGGCTGCGCGCGCACGTTGGCTAGGCCGCCTCGCGCCCGCCGAGCCTCGCTTCTCATTGGTCCAGTGTTTTTCGTTGATAACTCGTAAACGATGCCTCGGAGAACATTTTCGTAAAGGAAAAAGTTGCTTCGAATGATCCGAGGAACCCCATTTCCGGATCGCGAGATATTTTTAGGGCACCCTGTATAACGTTTCGCTCGCGTTTATTTATTATGTTTCCGGAGAACATACCGAGCATAATGTTACCGTGATTGTCTCCGACGTCGCGTTGTTACGTTGCTCCGCGAACGTATTTTAATAGATGGCTTCGACGATCTCCGTTGTCTGCGTCGATCGATAACAGAAACGTTGAAGAATAACATAATCGAGGCGTGCTTAAATATTTGATCGCGAAACGTCGCGAAATATTTGCGAATTTATTTACTTCGATTCCCGTTATCGATTCCCTTTGTTCCGATGTCAATGCGGGGATACGGTGTTCCTATTATTAAGCATTCCGACAGCAGAACGCAGAATATTTCCACGATAAAACAAAGAGAGCGCGCGAAGGGTTAACATTCGGGAACAGAAAAATATGATTCCGGTTCGAGCGATTGAATAATATTCGCCGACGGTCGGACGCGATATCACGCTGCAACGGGTTAAACACGGGAACACAGCGTGCAACGTTCGCATGCTAAATGTTGCGAACGTAAACGTTCGAATATAGTAAATTCTTCGTAATTGACGATCAGCTTGGAAACTGAAATGGACAATTTGAGAACAGAAGGTATGACAATTTTTCCCTAATTCCCTAAACGTTCGAATATATATTTCGAGTGAAAGTATAAGAAATCCAACGAGAGCGCGAAGCCCAGTCCCGCTGATTGGCTCGGCCGCCTAGCGCCAAGCGAGCTCGCCTCTCATTGGTCAACCGTTTTCGTTGATAACTCGTTAACGGTGCCTCGGAGAAAATTTTCGCAAAGGAAAAAGTTGCTTCAAACGACCCGAGGAACCCGCCGTTTCCGGATTGCGGGACATTTTTGGGACATCCTGTAGAGCCACCAAACATTGTTTGCCGGCGATGCGACATTCTGTTTTCGCGGGGAATTGAATCGACGACGCGGACTATGATCCCCGGGCGATTTCACCGACGAGAATTGGTCACCGGGAGATGTTTACCGGGGCGACCGGGAAATTCAACGATTATTCGTGTCGCCGGGAACGAGTGTTCGCCACATGTGATTGATATAAATTAAACGGACCGACCGATTCGACGTTTGACATACGAACGTTCGCCGCGCCCGCGGTGTTGTGTGTTGTGTTGTGACACGTAAATTGAACGTGGATTCGAGTGTTTGGAAGTTCTTGATAGCGCTTTACCGATCTCGATTTACGGGGAAATAAAGCGTTTGGTAACGATATTTTGATTATAGCTGCGCGTTACGTGTCTCTTCGCGATGCTCGACGACGGTTCTAACCAGCGAGCTCTGTTCTCTGACCACGCCTTTCGTACGTTTAGGTACAAATACTTGTGCGAGAAAGAGAAAGTTAAATAACATAATCGCATCAACGGTAAAACGTAAATATAGCAACACTTGAAAATAGAACGGAAACATTTATAGTATAGTAATTATATAAGCTCATATTATATTATTATATTATTAAAATTTATAAATAATAGTATAGTAATTATATAAAGTTCCGTCTCGAACGTAAGATAAGTTTCGATGATATAGATATGTCCTGAAATTATGGTACCTCCGTGAAATGAGGGATTCCTGAGGTCATTTCAAGTGACATTTTCCTTAGCGAAAATGCAATCCGAGGCTTCGTTTACGAGCTATTAACGAAAAACAGTGACCAATGAGGGGCGAGCTCGGCTGGCGCGAGGCGGCCGAGCCAACGAGCGCGCGAAAGCTCGGTTCCGCTGATTGGCGCGGCCGCCTAGAGCCAGTCGAGCTCGCCTCTCATTGGTCAACCGTTTTTCGTTAATAACTCGTGAACGAAGCTTCGGAGCAAATTTTTGTAAAGGAAAAAGTTGCTTCGAATGATCTCAAGAATCTCTAATTTCCCGGAATTACCATAATTTTGGGACAGTCTGTATATATAATTATATACTATTATTTCACTCTCGAAACACTTAGAAAATAAATTTGGTTTGCAAAAAGATGATAAGTCCTGCAAAAAAATTGATTCCGATTTGGTAAAGAAGTGAGTATTACCTGCGAAAAGATGAATGCGATTTGAGAAAAGATTAATACAACCTAGAAACGGATAAATTCGCAGCACAAAGCCTGCGGTAGAACGTGTGTTTCGCGGCCGAGGAAATTCAAGTTCCAGAAGTGGAGTCGCTGTCCATAAATTACCACCCTTGAGGCTACGCTAGCAAGCTATTAAATTGCGATTTTTTGTACCCGTTTGTACACAATAGCGTGATGCACTCGACTCTTTGTTGGAAATCTCGAAAAAAAAAAAAAAAAATATATAGAAGCACATGTTATCTTCGGCTGGTCCGTAAATCTGCTGGGATTCATAAAAGTCGCGTGGATTAGGTTTCTCGTCGATGATTCTCGACTCACCATCCTGCCTATTCTAAGACGAGAGCGACAGAAAAAAAACAATCGGTGCGACTCTTGGAATTACAAATACCGGACGCGTCTGCACAGCTGCTTCGTTAACTTTTTTTTTTATTAGTCGCCGCTATTGTTCGAAGGACACGTGAAATAACAACGCATAATACACTGTAATAAGTAATTAAATAATAATAATAATACATATAATAATAATACAAATAATAATAATAATAATAATAATAATACACTGTAATAACACAATTACAACTGTGTGTAATTCAGAAATACAGGGTGTCCCGAAAATGTCCCGCAATCCGGAAATAGGAGGTTCCTGAGATCGTTTGAAGCAACTTTTTCCTTTGCGAAAATTTTCTCCGAGGCTTCGTTTACGAGTTATTAACGAAAAACACTGACCAATAAGAGGAGAGCTCGGCTGGCGCGCGGCGGGCCAGCCAACGGGCGCACGAAGCCCGGTTCCGCTCACTGGCTCGGGCGTCTCGCGCCAAATGATCTCGCCTCTGATTGGTCACTGTTCTTTCGTTAATAACTCGCAAACGAAGCCGCGGATCGCATTTTCGCTGAGGAAAAAGTTGCTTCAAATGACCT